CAAGGACATTACTTCCCAGAGCGCGCTTTTTGCATAATGGAGGCTCGTCGCTTTTAGAAGCGACGTCTCTAAAAACGTAAAGGACATGGATGTCAGTATGGCGCTGATATTTGTAGAAACGAAAGAAACGAGAAAAACGTGGGACTTTTTAGAAATAAAGAAAAGAAACTAGCTTAACTTTTTTCTTTCTTTTTTTTACGTTTCGACCAAACACCCTTTATTTCGGAGAAAGCACAGGAAGCTTCTTCCTTGGGAAGAATTCCTTTTCTCGAGACTAGAAAACTATGTTGGTTGTCTGGCAGGACTCGTCCGAACGAATCCGAACGTTCCATGATTCTTCGAGCGAGAAACGTCTTCTCCTCCTCTCGTCCTGATTTCGCTTGGATAAATCCCTCCCATCTCTACGTCTCGACTCCTCTTTTCTTCTTCTTTTCCTTCGAAACTAAACGCTAAAAATGTAAACTTAATCTCTAGTCGAAGATACTTCCCTTCTTTTCGAAATCATAAAATTTGTTCGATCAACTGATAAGAAAGAGCAAAAAGTTTGACGGACAACCAGGATAGTTTCTCGATTTATCGAACGTTCTTCAAAATCAAAAAAACTAGATATTCGAGCTCGTTCGGAAGAAATTAAGAGCATCTCTTTTTTTTCCCACCACGGAACAAAAAATCCTATCAATGGAAATGAAAATTTGCGAGTGAAAGAGCACAAGAGAAATTTGATTTTCGTGACGCATAGCGACGTTATATCCGGCAACGATTCGGCAATGATCAGCGGGACTAGAGGGGCTTTCTAGTAGATTCTGCTGATGGATGCTGTAGCAGGATGGCGAAGCACGCACGTGCGCGCTTACTCGTTCGCTTCTCGTTCGACTCTCTCGACCGAGTCAATTCCAGTCGATGGCAGCCGTTTCCATCGGAGGATTGAAACCTGTCCCTTTCATTCTTCGAAAAACGAATCGACCGAGCAGAACAGAAGTTTGGCGGAAACGTTCAAAGTTCAAAGAAGCGAAAGAATGGAGGAAAGAAAGAAAGAGAAATAAATAAATATCGAATGTCCTAATTTCATACTTTGCTAATCGCATATCTGATATTTTCCTTTTCTTTCTGATGTCGAGGACATCGAGATAATTTCCGACTCCCTTTCGAAGGCAACCAACTTCTCGAGATTATAGCGCAATCGCTATGCGCTTTAGCCACGGCATTTCGCTATTGTCCTTCCTTTGTTTATATCTGTGAAATTAATTACGCCAATAAGCGGAGAGAGTTTTCGAACAACTCGAAATTCGCGGTTTCGTGTTATATGTATTTAGGAGAACGAGAGAGAGGGAGAGAGAGAACAGACGGGCAAGCTCGACTATAATTCGGTATTTCGTGTGACCCTGTGAATTTCATATCGACGTTACGAAACTCGATTGCGTAAATACAATCTATAAATTCGTAGGAAATGAATGCAAATGCAATTTATGCATTATTTAGCGTTGACTGCCTCATTGTAACGAGGATGTAATATTTGTTGACCGTAAAAGCACACCGCTTTTAACGCGAACCGGACTGTGTCAATTCGGTTAACCACTCGATTTCACGATGTTTCTCATTTTGGTTAATTCCATTTATAAAGAACGTATCAAGAAGAGATTCAGAATGTAAATGAGAACGGAATCGCGATCGAGAAACGTGCGAACGAGCTCTTTTAAGCTCGATAATGACTGCTCCCGGATTTGTAAATCGAACCGAAAGATTTGGGTCGATGCATTGTGAATGCGGCATTGTGCGAAACAACAACTTGCTACTCTGCAGTTCGTGCCTGCATACGCGCAGTAGTAGCGATCATTCGCGCGAAACCTTTTAATATACACGCAAGAGGATATACGCTTGGAGCAAACGACGCGTGCCTTCATTTTCTTCTCCGTCAAGGTTGAAATTTTCTGACATAAGAGCACAGGCAGGTACGTGCATTTTGTTCGTGAACAAGTTTTCCTAGAATGTTAGAACTCTTTTCTACTTTTCTTCTTTTCTCACTTATCCGTGCGAAAGGTGTGTATATATATATATATATATAAAAGGAGAAAGAGAGAAAGGAACCCCCATGTCCACATTTAACCGCGACGAGGGCGAGTAATTACGAGAGAATTTAATTACAATTTAGCCGTCCCTAAACGGATTTCGACTCTAAACGAGTACTCGAAAGTACGTCGTCCGTTCCTTCGTCCTTTAGGCGCGTTGCGCGTTCTTTTCATCTTTGCGCACACGCGCAGGAATTTAATTACCGATGACCGAGAGCGTACCAATCAAGTTTCGCCAAGACGAAAGACCGAGATGAACAGAGCAAGAGAGGGTGAAAAGGTGCAGTTCAAATAGGCGTATGTCTGAGTGTGTGTATATATATATACACACACATACGCAAGTACTATATACCTTCTTCTCTCCTTCTCCGTCTCGTCGAGTTCGTTAAATTAAACCCTATCGCTTTCTGCTCACCAAGATTATATCGAAGACCAAATACGCTTCGTTGCTGGAATAGAGAGAGAGAGAGAGAGAGAGAGAGAGAGAGAGAGAGAGAGAGAGAGAGAGAGAGAGAGAAAACATCGTCTTAATCGATCCATCCCTCTTCTACTCTCCTTCCTTTAACCTTCTTACCTTTGCTCTCCCTCGCCATCTCGACGTCAAAAGTGTACTTTTCCTTGACCATAAAGGACATCGTCGACAAGAAGAAGCCAACCACCGAATAGGTGATGGCGATGACGAAAAAGAAGTAGAACAGGAAGTAAGAGCTTGAGATGTCTATTATAAGATTCCGTTGAATATTAATGCAACGAGCGAGCTGTTATCACTGACGAGGATAGTAGATAGTAGGTATACGACATTGGCCGAGGAACTACTACGGAGATTAACGAAGCGATTATTAAAATATGCAGTACGCTGCTTTAATTAGCTTGCTTGCGACCGTCGAACGAAGAAAACTTCTTTCATTCATTTTTCTTCTCCTCCTCCTCCTCCTCCTTCTCATCCTTTTACCTCATCTCCACCCATCGCTTCGAAGACATCAAATACTTTTTGTCTTACATTAGTTTTTCGAAGGCATGCATTAACGCGCTCGATTTGATCGCATCGAGACGATCTTCTCGGTCGTTGGCCGCGGTCGAACGAACACAAATTCGTTCGGCGTGTTTCTCAAACGACACGGGAAGAACCCTTTTAAGGTAGAAAATTGCGAGCATTCTCTATCTCTTCTCTTTGTTTAATCTTTCTTCTTCGAGGATTCGAATCACGGGGAAACTTTATCGAAGGGAATTTTCCGTCTACCAGAGAGCGAAAGAGAAAAGGAAAATAAGAAAAGCACTCGAGTTTCTCTCGATTAATTTTTTTTTTTTTTTCTATTCCTTTCTATCGCGAGACGATCCTATGAAAAAATTTATTAATCGATCGACCTCGAAATCTTTCATTACGGAGTATTTCAAAATGACTCAATTCTGACGTAAGCAATGACATACAATTATTGAGAAAGGAGAGAGAGAAAGAGAAAGAGAGATGGGGAGATACGCACAGATAGGGCTACACGTCATCCTCCGATTCTTTAGCTTCGAGCAGCCTTCCGTGACTCGCCTTTTTATTACGCAATTGCAATTCCAGGCATGTCGATCATTCGAATACGACTCCGAGCTCGACCAAAGCGAATTTCTACCCTTTGAAGAAAGGGATATATATATATATATATATAAGGGATATATATATATATATATATATATATATATACATAGAGTGAGAGGAAAGTGCAAGCTCTCTTTTCCTTTTACTTCCTTCTCTCTTTCTCTCTTTCTCTCTTTTCATGTGCTGATTCGTCGAATCTTATTCCTTGCTCGTTTATGTTTTATAACGAATGAAATATGCATAATGAAAGAAAGTTTTTATCATTAACGAACGATCTTTATTATTAATGAAAGAAGACCGTACATTGTTAATATAAATTTCAAAAGTACCTATGCAAGTACTTATACGCGTAGAAATAATCGCCGTTAAATTAAATTGAAATTTAATCGTCCTCTTTAAACTACGTTCCGTCGTAAATTAATTACAGATCGACAGGATAGATTGTACGCATAGCATAGAACGTAATTGATACTCGATGTGAGTTTGCATGCGCCTCAATTATGTACAAACGAAAGTAATAACGATACGATATTTAAAATACACACACACATATATATATATATATATATGTATATGTATGTATATTTATCTACAGGTACTTTCTATCTTTATGAATTAATTCATTTCCATCTCTCTTTTGTATAAACGAGAAAACTCGTATTTATCTATTGGCATGATATAATAAATGGCTGTATTTTATTCTTAACAATTAAAAATGTTAATAATGTTAAATATAGGATAAAATTGTTTGATGTTATATCGTAGGAAAATAAAGAAATTCTTAAAGTTGGAAATACGTAAAATGGAAATTCGTAAAGCTGGTATTACATGTAAACTCGTAAACCCGCGTGCATCTCTTTGAAGTAAAATTCACGTGAAAATAATGGCAGCAAATATGGAATCAAACGATTTTCGTTTATTCCCTCATACCGCACCCAAAATACATGGATGTTCCGTCACCTTCGATTATATATACACATATACATATTATATATATATATATATATATATATATATATATATATATGTATGTTTTTTTATCGGACAAAAACAATGGCGTAGCAAAAACTTTTCGGTGCTTCGCCAATCGCCAATCGCATTTCTCGGACCGCTGCATTCGCGGTGAAAGCGATTGAAGCGCGAATGGAGGAATCCCTGCTGCTAAGAAAGAAAGAGAGAATCAATGGAAAGGAAAAAACTTTGTTTTGACTTTCTCCCATCGTCGTCATCAATATCATTGCGTAAATCGTCTTATAAGTGAGAGCATCATCGGTGAAGACGTTCGCTGACATCTCGTTCATTATTTTATTTATCTTTTCTTTTTTTTTTTTTTTCTTTTTCTTTTTCAGACGATTGTCCAAATTGCGTCGACGAACAAAGTAGCACCTTGAGCGCTTCCAGATGGACGATGCCGTTGTTGAAGCTTGGCGAGAAACGTTACTACCTGGGTATCTTCTTCAAGGTGTGTATTACATGTGTTACAAAGTAGAACCGACGGGTTACTTTGATTCACCTGTCATCCTCATGTCGATGTCATCGTCCTCTACAGAAACGAGACGAGCACGCTCACGCGTACCTCTCTGAACTTTATTCGATTATTTCCGTGCCTCTAACCACATCGAGTAACGCTTCACGGTGCACCGAGTAATATACAACCGCCACCTATGGTATTTTATCGATTTTTCTCGTTGCATTGGAAAAGTCTCTTTTCAAGAGACTCTCGCAAGAGAAACAAATGTTTTCTAGTTTTTCGTTTAATATACGAAGGAGAGAAAAAGAATTCTACATCCTTTTCTCTTGAAACGATTGTGAGTCATGGCATGACCTTATTAAAAGGAACGTCGTGTTGTAAGGTACTGGCGCGTCCGGTTTGCGGCTTGCTGCACCAATTTCTACGGAGACGAGCGGAAATGATGAAAGTTGCGCCGGAAGATCGTTCGATTTACCATTTACGAAAAGCGAAAGGTCGCATTTATCGTAGAAATCAAGGAAAGAAGAAGAACTTTGATCGTTCGTCATCTTATTCTCGACGACGAGGTCAAAGAGTTAAGTCGTTCGATTAATTAAAATCTTCTAAAAAAAAAAAAAGAAAAAAAAAATTATGATCGTACATTTTTTACAAAAGAAATTCCTTTTATAGAAAGGATATTGTGCGTCGAGCGTTGGAATATATGTCTATAAGACGATTTTCTTCTCTTTTCTTGAATCTCACTCGATGTTTCCTACTTTCATAGGTACAATCAATTTTATATAATGACTAGAACATCAGCACGTAATCATAATACGAAGGAATGACTTGAGAAATATCTTTATCCTTTCGCAACTAGTATGTACTTATGTAGAGTTCCTCTCGAGAGGCAACCCGATAGACTCGAGTGCTTTATAATAATCGAGCGTATCCTCCTAATACGGCAGCTAATCGAGAAGAAGAGAAAGAAAAAAGAGAGAGAGAGGGAGAGAGAGAGAGAGAGAGAGAGAGAGAAAAGGAAAAAGTTCGCGTGACTTCACGAAGACGTTTTTCCGTCATTACGACTATTCTTAAAAGCAAATAGAAGAGTGTCCCATTACGGACGGACGAGTGCGCGTCCTTACGCTCTCTATTCTACCTAATTCTAGGTTTTTAGCTGTAAGCTACGCGTAGCTTTTTTAGTTATACATATCTACGTACACACAAGAAACAGATCCGAGTAACTTACTTACTCATGCATCTCTTAAAAGTCTATCGTCTTTTTGGCTAATAGAGAAAAAAAAAAATTGCTAATCCGATAGAGTTTTCTTGATTTATAAGGAACACGTTGTGTCTCTTGACAATCCGTTATCTCATTTGTTTCACAGGCTAACTGGTACAGAGCGTCGCAGTATTGTCGTTATCACGGTATGCACCTTGCTAGCATAGCCTCCCAAGAAGAAAACGACAGACTGGAGAAGCACATCAAAGACTTCGGGCTTGGACACGAACATTTTTGGACGTCTGGTACCGATCAGGCGGAAGAAGGGACCTTCTTTTGGATGGCCAATGGACGGCCAATCACGTTCGAGAACTGGAACGTCGGCGAACCCAACAATTTCCGGTCGGTAGCATCTCTCTCTCATTTAACTGCTTCGTCGTTCTAAGAGTCGCGGAAAGAATATTTTTCTTTTTTCTCGATGAAAATAGGAAAAGAATAATCTACTCTCTCTTTCTTATTTCTCGAATGTTCTTGGTTTTTTTTTTTTTCTTCTTTCTTTATAGATACGAGAATGGCGAGGAGGAACACTGTTTGGAATTGTGGAATAGGGACGGTAAAGGGTTAAAATGGAACGACAGCCCTTGCAGCTTCGAAACTTTCTTCGTCTGTGAAGTGCAGTGAAAGAGGGAGAGAGAGAGAGAGATGGGGTCGTTGTAACATGGGCGACAACCCACACACTCGTTCCCTATACACGGATAATACAAACGCACACACGCGCACACACATAGACGCAAGATCTAAAGGGTAAGAAGGACGAGTACGATAGACGTCGAAAGAGAATAAAGCGAGAAGTCCGTCAGACCAATTTTCAAACCTCGTTCGAGCCAGCCCAGTGCCAAAGGTTTTCCGACGAATGTAACCCTTCATCGATCACTTTGGTTTCGTTTACGCTTACGCGACGCGCCACATTCGGATGGAAGGAGAAGAGTCGAAGTATAAGGGAATGAATCGGAATTTGTTGGCTACTACTGGAGTCGAAGAGAACGTACGGATAAGGAAAGAGTTTCCGAATTGACTGAAAAAGAAAAAAAGCAAGAAAGCAGTATTTTATTGTCGACGTCATGCAGGATAGTTCTTACCGTGTGTTTCTGTGTGTGCATCGATCTGTGTGTGTGTGTGTGTGTGTGTGATCTATGTGCGTGCAAGCTCGTTGTTTTTTCTTTTCTTTTTGTTTTTTTGTCTTTCCGTTTTCTTTTTTTTTTTTTTTTATTTCCTTTCTTTTTTTTTCTTATTTTTTTTTTTTTTTTTTTTTTTTATTTTTTTTTATCTTTTTTTTTAAATGACATGTAATGTTATTTTATTGACTTTACTTTCTCGTATGAAGAGACAGCAAGGGGACATTAACAAGCGCGTCCTTTGTTAAATTAAGAGGAAGGAAGAAGAAACTAGTAGTACGCGAGAGCGCGGTCGTGCCCGCTCGTCGTTTGATGTTTTAACGAATTATAGAGTTATAATTAAAGAGATTAATTTAAGCCAGGAGCAAAGTTTCCTGGACATAAAGCGATACGTCATCACTATTATATTATTATACGACTTTTAGATATCCTACATACCGCTTTTTCCTATTGTTTTTAATTAATTACCAAATTAGTTAATTAACGAGAGATATTCGAAAGGATAGATGGTTATTCTTTCAGGAAGAGAACACGCTAGGAAGCGTGTTGTATGTACATATTAAATAGAAACGTACGAATGGATAGATACTTGGTTTAAAAAGCATTGCTTTTGCCTTTCACCTTATCCAAGTTATATATACCTATGTATTTACATATGCATGGCGCATAGACGGATACATATGTATGGTACATAGACGAGCTCGTTCGAATGTAGCAAATAAAATCCAGACTTAATGACAAAACAATAATGGCCGCTTTGAAAGCTCGAATTTTAGCCATCTCTCGCGGTCCACGGATGAGTTGAAAAAAATATTACGCGAGTAACGTTATTCTATATTTTCAGAGCGTACTAACGAACGAGATGGAAAGAGAAAGAGAGCGTGGGAAGCCGAACGAGTTGGCGAATAAAATAAAATACAAGGCGAGCTCCTGCAAATGCACGCTCGTTGTATTTTCATAGAAGCACGAGTTGTAAATTAAAGGATCGCTCTATAAGCTCCAACTGAAAGAGTAACGGTTCTTTTTGTTTGTTTTTTTTTCTTTCTTTCTTTCTTTCTTTCTTTCTTTCTTTCTTTCTTTCTTTCTTTCTTTCTTTCTTTCTTCCTTCCTTCCTTCCTTCCTTCCTTCCTTCCTTCCTTCCTTTCTCTCTTTCTTTCTTTTCTCTTTTTTTTAACTCGAATATTGAAAATTTTCAAGCATTCTCTTTTACTCTTTTAATCATTGTGCAATGGTGGTATCCATCGATGATCAAAAAATGAACAGAGTCGACGTGCGGTCGTATCTAATTGAAGAAGTTCGCTGGTTCTCTTTGTTTTTTGCTCGTCACGTCGTAGCTCTCGTACTTTCGGCTTTTGGGTAAGAAGCCGAAACGTCGGAAAAGTTAGAGAAAAAGAATTCTGGGAAGAAGAAACGTAACGAAATTTGGCGCCCTATAAAAATGGAAACACGAAAACGAGTTTGGATGTGTGTTACGTCGACGCGAGGAAAGTCTCCTGTCTCTCCGTCGCTTTTGCTACTTCCCCACTCGACGACCGGATTGACAGAACCAATTAGTGGTTCTGTCGATTTTTCGCTCTTCCACGAGACAATGCACTAGGGAGAGGTACTGAACCGAAGAGAGCGAGAGGAGAAAGAAAAGGAAAAAAAAGTTCGATATTAACGAGAGTTCCGTTCTCTATCTGTCTGTTTCGCGTTAACAAATGTTACAAAGAATTATTCAAGATTTTTTCCAAAATCCTCTTAACAATTATCTCAATAATAATTTTTCATCGGCGTAGATAGAAAGATTCGGCGAATTTTATTTATTACGCAATAAACGCGATTTTATTAAAGATACAGGTGCACTTTCATAAGACTCGTAAAGTATATCAAAAACGGAGAGAGAAACTAGAATGTGCTGGGAGTTTACCCTTTTTTATGCTCGCACGACTCGACTGCAATTTCGAAGGCACGAAATCTTTCGCACATGTCGTTTGCCGACTTTTTCCCTACTCCAGCCCCTCTCTCTCTTTCTCTCTCTCTCTCTCTCTCTCTCTCTCTCTCTCTCTCTCTCTCTCTCTCATCGGATTACTGCGAGGTTCCTGCATTGAATACCACGACATGAAGGAAAGAAAATTCAACTCGAATCTCTCTGGACATTTTCTCCTGATGTGCACTTAAAAAGATTTAACGCGAGCGTACGGACGCGTCTGTTTAACCTACCTTAATCCCTTCGTTTCGCTTGAGATCGTCGAACAAACGACCCGTCGATCATTATTCTCTTTTCGCATAGATTATACGTTTCCGCGACATTTAAGACAAACGAAAAATTTTCTCCCTTTCTCTTTCTCAACTCTTTATCTCTATTTTTTTCTTCAATGTTCTAACACCGATATCTCTTAATTTTTTATTTCGTTAGAAGGAATATCGAGAGAAGAAATACAAATGTTTTTTATCGTTCCATCGTTTGAAAAGACAACCTCCATAAGAAGGAGAGAGAGAGAGAGAGAGAAAGGTCTTTGATAGACAGCATATCGAACATAATAACATGATACGGTTGAAACATCTTCCATTATTAACCATCCCATCGAAATTGCTATTTCAATTGGAAGTTTGAATTAGTGCCGGTACGATACACAGGTTATATTAGTCTGCTATTAGGGATATAAAACGACATCTGGGATATTGCGTTGATAAGGTAGCACCGGTAATTTTACTCGTCGATAAAGGAAAGTAGAAATTTGTTACAACGAAAATCGATAAAGTCAAGCAACCGTTGATAAGGTCGTTTCTGATAAAAAAAAAGAATCGTCGTAGAATCGATTGGTCGAGCATATGGAGGATTAGTCGATTTGCGTTCATTTCGCGTTATAATTGAAATAAAAGGAGACAACGCTGTAGGTATACAAAACAACAATGTTTTATTTGAAACAACATATAATTACGTGCCATGTATGTTCCTTATTAAGCCTTTATCGTTCGCACATTCCGCGAAAGTGCATCGATCAACGGAGTACGTATGTAGAAATAATATATTTTTCGTTCGAGTCGCTATCTTTCATCGTCCTTTTTTTTTTACATCCTCTCTTCTTTATCTTTCCCTCTTTATCTTCATCCTCGTCCTCTTCTTCATCTTTTTCTTTCAATCCGAATCAAAAAGCAATCCACGAACGATGCCTTACACCACCACCGATCACACTTGATATCAACGATGCTTATATTATTTCTTAACAAATGGCGCGCCTTTACGCTTATTTTGCTCGGCGATCATTTTTTTTGTTCTCTCTCTTTTTCCTCTTTATTCTCTTGAATCGAGGGAAGCGAGGAAGAAGGTGGATGGGACAACATCCAGTCGAGGGATAGTCAACAATGTTCCCTGGCTTTTTCTTTCTTTTTTTTTTTTCGCTCGCGCTATTCTAATACATTCCTATGATTTCTCTCATTCTTTTAGTCTTTCTATGTCATCGGCTCGATAAAAAGAAGAAGCAGACGACGAGGACGAAAAGTTATCGGTCGGAAGATAGCTCCCATGTTTTATTTTTTTTCTCCCTTTTTCTTTTCCTTTTTTTCTTTTTTTTTTCCTTTTTTCTCTTTTTGTTCGTAATTTTTCCTTTCTCGTTCATTTATGTACAAGTTAGACAAACACTCACACGCATACGCATATACATACACACACATACGCACGAGATATAGACTTTTTGTTACACATATTCATACGATATCTCTCTAAATCGCGGATGTCACAGCAACGTTTAGTTGGCACAAAGTCTCAAGTTTACTACACGACGATTCCTCGTTAAGATGACGCGAGCTGCGGTACTCTGCAATCTTTATTCTTTTATCCATCTGTAGAATGTATATGTAATGTATGTATGTATGTATATATATATATATATATATATATATATATATATATGTATGTATGTATGTATATATATATATATTGTATTTATAATATTGACACATATGAATTTACATATAACATATAAGAAATGTCGAATAGAGTAAGATCAAACAAGGACAAAGACACACTCCAGTGGGACAGAGGAAAGACGAATAGAAAGCCACGACTCTTTTATTGGAAAAATGATGTATCTTCGTAGTCGCGAGAAAAAAGAGAGAGAGAGAGAGAGCGCGACCCGTTCCGGTTTCTTCGTTGTATCATATCGATTCTCCCACGATTTTTTGTTTTTCTATTTTTCACGCGTAAAATACAAAGGACAACGTCGAGCGATAATAAATCAATCTGAGAACAATTTCACTGGACGAATGAACGATCGCGTTGATATGACTTCTTTCTTCTTCTTTGAATTCTCAATAAAATTTCCATCGATCACATTGTAATATTTCATGGAACATTGGATAGATGTCACGATTGGAAGAGTCGTCTTTTGGCCGTAACTGGAATAAGAAGAGGATCAATCGGAAAATCCTTTTCCGTAGAGGAAGGAAGGAAGGAAGAAAGGAAGAAAGAAAGAAAAAAAGAAAGAAAGAAAGAAAGAAAGAAAAAGACTTCCTCGAAGATTCCTATTGTTTACGTAGATACGATTACGTACACGTAAACGAAGTATAATCATGGTCAGGTATTTTAACAAATTCTTAACGAACGATTTCTGTTTGGATAAGTGCGCGCATGTATCTCTTATCCTTCCAAATTTCGCAATCAATATCGCTTATCAAGTGACTATGTACGTTCTATGATGAATGAGAGAAAAAATATGTGTATATATATATATATATATATAAGGTAAGCGAAGAAAAATTAGATCAATATGGATAACAAGTACGTATCATTGGATAGATAGATCGATCGATCGATCGATGGATAGAAAGTGGCTCAATTGTGTTTGCACGATATGCGTGGGTTTACGCGCGCGCGTGTGTGTGTGTGTGTGTATGCGTGTACATGTGCGGGTGTTTTCTCTTGGCAGAAAAAATTAGGCAGTGTCTAAGAGAGTTCGTACAATGGCCGTGTCGTTCTATGATCGATCGATCGATCGATCTATCCTTGCGAGAAGAGAGAAAGAAGATTTAAGTGTTTAATAAGGAAATACAGAGGAACAATGGTGTTTCGGGTTAAAAGGTGCGAGCTTTCGTCTATATGTATACGAGTGTGTCCGTGATTATTTTTATGTTAACGTTTCCGGCTCCTAACGTATAGTTTCCTTCTTATTATATATTTTCCTTAAACTTACGGGATAATTAGCGTAGCTTTTATAGTTTAGACTTTAGAGACGGCTTATTTCGTACTCCGCGACGACGAGATAATTTATCGCGTGATCGAGTTTCCTCGCTTAACAACGTAACACTTCCTTTTATCTTTAACAATAACAGTAACAACGTGTTCTAAGATTGTTATTTGGGATAGGTCTTAGGCGCCAACCTCCCATTTGCGCACACTTTTAATTTACTTTACTTTACTATATTTTATTCCTTCTTTTTCTTTTTTTTTTCTTTTCTCTCTTTCAATCATATTTATTCGTATCGTATATATTACCTAATCTAAAAATCCGGAGAACTTAACTCGCGACGATCGACGTCGCTGCTTTCTTCTCGTTTCTTTCGAGAAGGAAAATCGTAGAAAATTATTGTTTAACATTTCCCATTCGTTTCCGCTTCCGCTTTGTGTTCACGGGGCGCATTCGATCCGAGGATCAGCGGCGTCGAACGGGAGAGACGTCTCTTGCCGGCAATTATGCAACGCTTGGAAAGTAGAAAAATCTAGTGAAAGCGCCTTGGAAATATTCAAGTCTCCGTTGCGTCATGTGGAACGCAACGATCGCACTTTATTTTTTCTCCCTAACGAAACGTCCCGTTGATTAATCTGTCGCCATTCCTAATCTCTTCCTCTTTTCAAACGGTGACGCTTATTTCGTAAATTTTTCATTTCTGTTTTTCCTTTTCTTTTTTTTTTCCTCCACTCGAACCATCCACGAACGTTCATTTTCATCCTTCGTTTTACATCGACATGCCTGCGCTTCGTCTCATCGGGATATTTTATTTCAATAGCATACACGTAAATCCCACTTTTTTTTATTTAAGATCATTAATTATTATGTACGCGTAAACGTACATCTTGTATATATATATATATATATATATATATATATATATATATATATATATATATATGTATATATATATATATATATATATATAGTTATCTTTTGCAAAAATGTTCGGAGCGTCAGGACGTCGAAGCGAATTCTACTTGTGGCTCTTTGATATGGTCTAAAAAATATGACGATCTTTTACAAATTATATCTCGAAATTGGTATCTCAGGCACAAAATTACGCATTAGAAAATATTTCCTCTCGTCGGGGTTATACATCGAACGATCTCTAATCTCTTCTATCTCTTAATTCCTTTTACAAGTCTACGTTGTCTTACGAAAACTCTGTCATCGTCTTGTTACTTTTCTTTCTTTTTTTTTCTTTGTTAGTCTTTCTGGACAATTTTCAAATATTCGTCAAACGACGCCTGACACTCCACGACGAGGTAGTAACCTCTTTTCTTTTCTATTTCTCTTATACATTACTGCTTTTTTTTTCTTTTTCTTTTTGACTTTACATATCGTTCGTCGTTACATATATATGTGTGTGTGTGTGTGTGTGTGTGTGTAGCGTATTATTTTTTTCATCGAGCATTATTACGTCCTCAAAGTAAAGTTTTTTTAGAATATCTCATTTTTGTCCACGGTACGTCGTCTTTAATTTGTTGCTCATCTTTCTCTTTTACGTGGAAATAACCTATATATATAGCGTAAATACGCACGTATATGTATATCCTTATATGTATAATAATTATATCGATGCGCGTACAATGTAACGTTAACCGACAAACATGTTTTTTTTTCCTTTTTTTTTTCTTCTTTTTTTTCCTTTTTTTTTCTTTTTTTTTTCTTTTTTTCTTTTTTTGTTCTTTTTTTTCTTTTTTTTTTTTTTTTTTTTTTTTTGTATTATTTCACTCGCAGATATATCCGGTCTAAATCTCGTAGGGTAACACATAGATTCACATCTTTTCTGGGATAGCTACTCCTTTTTTTTACCGGGTAGCGTTCTTACAGCCTCGTCGTCTTTTTCTTTGTACGTGAATTGGATGTACGTATACATTTATACATATATATATATATATATATGTATACGTGTATGTATGTATGTATGTATGTATGTACGTTTTTTTTGTTTTACGTTTTATTTACTTGTCGTGTGTGCCATGGTCGGTCACGAGTTTATACAAAGTTTAAAATAGCCCTTCTTAAAAATGAGAAGAACTCGATAACTATCTATTGCATTGTTGGTGCCCGATTGTGTTTTGCCCTAATAATAATAATATTAATTAATTTTAGTTCCCTACACAACATTAAATAGCTCGGTACAACCCTCGTGATAATAGTTCTCTCTCTTAATGCTTTGCCCACCACCACACGAAAGGACAATGAAAATCGAAGAATAATTTCGTTGCGCTTTTACAATATGACTTTTTTCCCTTGTATCTAATTTCTTTTTCCTTTTTTCTTTCTCTTTCCTTCTTTTCTCTATCTCTTACGTTTGTTTGGCTTTTCCTTTTCTTCATATTTGCTCGCAGACAAAACCCGTGGTGCAAAGGTGGTACCGTCGTGTTCATACGATTTGTAGGCACAAATTGAATTTAGAAAGGACCGAGAAAAAAGTCGCGTACGTTTAAATGGTACGTTATAGAATGTATGTACTTATATATATATATATATATATATATATTTTTTTTTATTCTTTTCCATTTTTTTTCACATGTTTTACTCGTGAATCTCACAATTTACTCTCACTACTTTTCCTTTTTTTTCAACCTCTTCATTTTTTCGTGGAAATTCATTCTCCATGTGGAAGAGAGAAAACGAGAAAGGATACGGAAGGAGATTTTAATAGTAAGGAAAAATATTAAATATTATATATAATATATATGACGTATAGAAAGAGAGAGAGAGAGGGGGGGGAGGGAAGAAAAAATGAGAGGTTAAGGATGGATCTCCGTTATCGTTCTTTATTGGCGAAATACGACGAGTCGATTAGGCATTGAACGGTGTCAAATATCATCGTCATTGTCGTTCTCTTTTCCATATTCGTCTTTTTTTCGTTGATTAAGGAAAAAATGTTGTAAAATTCAGACTCCTTCTTTAAGGGAAAGGATTGAGATTTTTGAAATTGTTCGTTCGTCGCGTCGTATCACGTCATCGATAAAATATCCTTTAGGAGATACGAAAGAACTCGTCGTCCGTGATTCCGAAAGGGCAAAGAAGCAATTCGATGCTCGTGGATTCGACGGAATATCTTTCTTTTTTTTTCCTTTTTCTTTTTCTTTTTCTTTCTTTTCTTTTCTTCCTTCTTTTTTTTTTTTTTTCTTTTTCATCAGAAGAACAAGTGTCTCCCGGCTGTTTGGCTTCTTTTAATGTCTGGGCGATGAAGGCCGTACCTGTTACGATCACAGAACTGTTTCCATTTCTGCAATTTCCGTTCTTACCCCTTCCGTGCCCGGAATTCTAAAGAAAGAAGAAAAAGAAAAAAAACCAGGAAGATTAAACAGCAAAATGAGAAGGAGTAAAAAGGTTTAATGAAAAATAGAAAATAAGAGATAAAAATATTCTTGACGAACCTATAAATCTCCGTCGGTAAAAAGGTTTCCGCGTACTCGGTGCTTACTACGTGATTAATGCTCATGTCTCTTGGCCTTGCGACCTCCACCGCATCGATGAATCTGTTAGCGAATAAAAAGATGACAAAATTAATAATAATCGTAAAACGGAGATATATCGAACGTATGTATATTTTCTTTCCTTTTTTTCTTTCCTTTTTTTTTCCTTTTTTCTTTTCTTATTTTCCTTCTTACTTTCTTTGCGATGTTCGCTTTGGCACACACACGCATATACACAAATTGCACGCTCCAACGAACGACGATACATTTTTGATCCATTTGACGAATAAACGATACAAAATGGACCTCTTTTATGAACGTCGATTCGTTAATTACTATCTTCCATTTCGAATTTTTCATCTTTAACTGGCATGCCTCATGCTTTCGAGCACATCGAAGTGTAAAGTATATATAGTTTCGTAATAAAGTACGAAACGAATAGAAGTATGTATATATATATACATATATTTTGTGTGTGTGTGTGTGTGTGTATATATGAGATAAAATTCAAATGCGTATATGCACAAGATCTAATCTACAAGCAAAGCGACTAATCTACGATCGGGCTTCTTTTTTTTTTTTCTTATCTTCACTTACAATCTGCACGCGTCGTTCGAGTCTCGGAGGATGCGTTGGAATCGCGCGTTGTAATTGATCGTTAAAAAATAAACTGGCTTTTTTCTTTCGATCGCATTCATCGAATGTTGAATGATAAGAGGTAGCCCGCGAACATTTTCGTGACGCACGTCCGAGACTCGTCGTCGTTGGTAACGTAGGAACTGTCCTTATCGATTTTCGGTTTTGCGACAAAAACAGTGATCGCGAAGGAATAAACAATAATGGAAAAAGAAGAGAAAAAAAAAGAACTTTCGCGGAGCGTTCCTACGTCACTTTACGTCCTTAGGTTTTTTTCTTTTCTTTCTTTCTTTCTTTTTTTTTTCAATCTTTTAGGTCGTTTGCATATTTCTTTTCGTTTTTTTTTTTTTTTTTTTTTTTTTGTCGTAGCGGACTTACGAATCGAAGTATGGCGGTAGCGGATGCGGCGCTTCGACCGTCAATGGTTCCGGATGTCGATGCCGGTCCGAACTTTGAAAGCATCCTCGCCACCAGGCCAGACTTCCGGTTTTCCTCCTTTAAAAAAGCCGACGTGCCAGGATATGTGCCAGGATATTGCGCCAGATCTCTTTCCATCATCATCAGTGAAATAGATCGCATCTCCTCGTCGATTCCTTTACAATATCTTTGACTATCGTGTTGCGACATCACGTTAAGTTTGATTCGATAAAAGTTTCTCTCGCGAATCCGAACCCGATCTATGCGAGATAAGTCTGTATGCGTTCTCTCAATCCTTCTTATCGTCAATTCGATTTTATCGATCTATCGGCCGTTCGAAGAATACTTCAAACGCGAATTCTCTCTATCGATATAGAAAAGGAAAAATACGAACGCGAGTAGAGAAACGATTCGACGGCCAACACGGATAACCTCGATTCTTTTCGAAAACTATCCGCGTAAGGAAAGTTTTTAAATTGCAAGTAGAAAAGTTTTTCCTTTCCATTATATTTCACACTACCGTTTACCGCCGTCTTCTCCGTCCTCCTTCCATCATCCCTCAAAGAAGTGTTTTCAAGCTGATTCTTTTTCTATCTCATTGTTTCATCGACTACATCGAACTGAATACTCGAGTTCTATTAGTTCTCGCAAAAGTGAAAAAAGGTTTGGAACTGACACGTCGCGATGCGTTCATCCGTCGAGAACCATGAGCGATGAAATTTGACGAAGAAGATCGCGTTATTCGGGATAGTTGCTTGAAAAATATAATGGTACGATTGGTTCCCTGCTCTCTTTTTATTCTTTTTCATTTTTTTTTTCTTTTGCTTTTTTCTTTGTAATATTTTCCTCTTTTCCTTTAAGCAGACAACGAGAACTTTTCCTATTATTTCTCGAACGAAATCTTTAAAGCCACACGTTTCTTTATGTATTTCGAGCAAGTACGATAAAGATATGTGTAAGTATATACATATGTAAATACTTAAAGAAAATCGAAGGTATTGGAAAAGACGCGCGTGCATGCTGGTGCGAGCAAAGTATTGAGCAGAATAGTGAGGCGAGAGTAAAATATACATTTTAATTTTTTTTGTTTTCTTTTAACTCTCGGGCTAGAAACAATGTGGAGTCAATTTTACTGTGATATTACATGCGTAAATGATAGATAATATACGGGGATTGAATTTTGCTTTACGATCAAATATGTACGGATAGAGATTGATTCGAAGAATTGAAAATGAATAGAAAAAGCATTAAGAGCAAAGACTCGATGTACTGTCGATAAAATAAAAAGCCTTCAAATATCACTCTGCAAAAAAAACATATTGTATATAGTACGTTAGAAAGCAAAGAAAAAAGAAGAGAAAAGTAAACGTCGATTGACCTTTCGATTACACGTACGTATGGAATATAAGTAGTAAGATTATACTAGGAAACGTAGGAAATATTAAAATCTAAAGGGGAAAGGGATTAGGATAAAAACGAAAAGGTTAAAAGAAGATAAAAAGAAAGGTCAATCGATCGTTGAATGAAAGGAGGAATTTTGCGGGATTCGACAGCGAAAGCTTTTGTCCGAAGTGCGATCGGAAAAGTGGTGCTTCCTGAACTATAACCAAGCAGGGGGCCGGAAAGGGTTGGATAGTAAAGAGAGATAAATGGAAAGGGAAAGAAAGAGAGAGCGACGGATCGAAGCGGAACAAAGCATAGCAAAGATCTACTCTCGACTCGTTCGTTGGGAGAGTCCTTGCTCGATCGCAATGCAAATACTCGATATGGGTAACTGCCGAGTGGATTTTCCTTCTTAAGATAGACGGAGTAAGATAGAAATAGATAGATTGATAGAGAGAGAGAGAGAGAGAGAGAGAGAGAGAGAGAATCGAGTTAGGTAAAACTAGATGATAGGAACGTAAGACGTACTTGGTCTGACTGGGCTTTATTCCGTGAGCTTCGAGATCCTTCTCGAGCTGTCGTATCCTGATCCTGGCCATGTCCAACTCATGCTTCACTTTCCATAAGTGAGTATCGCAAATTGGATCTCTGCATCTGTGATGTCTCAGTATATCCTGGGCCTCGTAGACCGCACCGCGAAAGGTCAAAGATTTTCCCATGCTCTTCGAAATAAAATTCATTTTGATTAAATCAGTTCTCGTTCTTTCTCTCTTTATTTCTTTTAAACGCGCGCTTACGTTCAAGAAATATAAATAGATTTAATGTTAAATGAAAAGGGAGAAGAAGAAATTACCAAGCTGAAAAGAGCGCAGCATCCACCGCCGTCGCTCTTTGCCAAGTGTTGTCTCACGTATTTAAAATATAGATGTTCGAGAAGAAGGAAGACGGCTGCGAGAAGAATTCCCATCATTAACAATAGGAAAGCGCTTAAAAATTGTTCGAGCGCCAAAGGGTCGCTACTTTTTTGAACCTCTTTTCCCGGTTTGCACGTGCCCGTCATCCAGAAACGTCTCAAACGTTCGAGATCACCTATCGTCGTCGATCACACAGATATAATCATTGAGAAAATTATAGTTTAAGTTCTGTACTATATATCATAGGTCCTTACCGTTGTCCCGATAATCGAGCAAACGTTTGTTGAACATTTGCAAATATTTGGAATTTCTAGAAAAGGCTAAACCGTATCCCGTCATGGCGTACCAAGATCCAACCGTGAGAAGCCTGCAATCTTCGTCTTGAGCGACCAAATAGTCGAGGACGGTTCCGTCGTATATGAATGCATCCATTTCACTGCGCGACAAAAAATACTTCAACATATCTGTCAGACGTATTCAATAGGAAAATAACGAAGGCCGCGAAAAAGTTTCGCGAAAGTTTGACAAATCGATCTTCAATTAACTCGCACAGCAGCAAGATTTCTTCTTTTGTTTTTTTCTTTTTTTCTTTTTTATCTCTTTCGATTTAGGAAAGTCTCGAGAACGTCGAAAATTTATACGACGATGGCACTTACCCGCTGATGACAGCCTCGATTCCCTCGGCCACGCTGCTCTTATTAAAGCCCCTCATGTAAGAGTGCATATCCTTAAAGTATTTAGCCAGTGTGCTGTCGGTGTGACTCCAAGGTATAGTGCCAAATTTGAACATGGGCTTGTGCGACCACGGTTTGGCCAGTCGATGATCGTCGACACCGGTGAACTCGTGAAATTCCTCCCTCGTTATCATGAAGGCAGCCAAGTTGGCAGTGTAAATGGCGAGGAAGACCACGGCGAATAACGCCCAAACGTTCGTCATGAATCTGTTTGCGTAATTGCGTTCATTTCATCGGCCAAACGACCGAAGGGATTTCGATTATTTGTAGTTTCACGAACCTGGCTGTAAATCCTCTCGGAGAATCGATATGGACGGCTGCTTGGAACAGTACCGCCCAGACCAACCAGTAAGTGCGGCAAAACGAAAAGCGATGATTCGGCGATGGATTTTTCTACATATCGAAAAGACGAAAAAGAGAATCTTTCATTCGTGCGAATTTGCTTCACGAGGGGCAAAAAACGGAGAGAGAAAGAGAGAGAGACACGTTAAAAAAGGCATATTTCTATTAGCTATTAGCATTTACGGTAAAAGTAATACAAATAATAATAATAATAATAATAATAATAATAATAATAATAATAATAAGAATAAGAATAATAATAAGAATGGTCGTGATATCGAGCGTGTATCGTGTACATGCAAAAAGAAACGAGGACGCATAATCATACAGACAAAGGCCGATTCTAAGTATATACGAGTTAGACGAGATCGGCGGCGTGAGTCACATCGATGTGCGAAAGGACGAAGATGTAGAGGAGCAAGAGAGAGAGAGAGAGAGAGAGAGTTCGTGCGAAGGGGCGAAGATAAAAAAAATATATGTATAATAATTAATAAGAGTAATAAGAAGCAAAAATAAAAGGTACCAGTTTCTGCGGAGCGACTGAAGGCTTTACCTTCATGTCGAAACCGGACGGTGATAACCACTCGAAAAAGAGTATCATTACCGTCGCGGTGTGAATCGCGACGATTCCCACCAACATCCAGGAAGCCGTGTCGAATGGCTCTGAAAGTATATGTTTCTTTTTCTTTTCCTTTTTTCTTTTCTTTTTTTTTTTTTTCTTCTTCTTCTTCTTGAAATCATAATTACGAAGATAAAGAAATGTAATCTGCGTTATACTGTACGTGTAATTAGAGATCGGTAGATTGCGATATTAAAAATGAAGAAAAGCATTGCGAATAGAGGATGAACTCACCCAAAAAAGCTGTGGGTGATATTATTCCAGTTCGTTTTGCAACAACGATGGCTATTCCGGTTTCCATGTAAGGAACGGTAAAATCCACGACTGCCTCTCTTTCAGAATTTATCATCAAGGACGTCATTACCATGTCGGTCTTCCGGTTAACCAAATCCGCTATAAGGCCATTCCACTTTCCGTTCTGAAGGAAAATAGAAAGTGATCGAAAATGAAAAATGATCTGGTCGTCGATGCCGTCAGCGTCGATCTTTTCTTCTAAAGTGTTTTCTACCTCGAGTGTACCCCATTTCCCGTCCTCCACTCTAGCCAACTCGTACGTGAAGCCTATTTCTTCCGAAAATTTTTGCAGTAGATCGATGCAAAATCCGCTGCAGCATTGATAAAAACTTTCGTTTTTTTGAGCCGACTGAATGTCCATCCTGAAACGAGCCAAATTTATCCTGATATAAAGATGCAAATGCACGTAAATATACTTTGCAAAATTCATAATCGATATTACGTCAATTTTTATAATTGAACTTGTATTTGTAAAACTAACGCTCATTTGTAAATTGATTACAAAGTAATAGCGTTCGTGCGTACATGACGTGCAACATAACGAAACTTCCCGCATAACTTTATAATGAATGTAATAATTTTATTATAAATGATTTATTTCAAACGATTCTTTCTCTCAACGACGAACTTCAAAGAAAAAGGAAAAAAAAGAAGAATGCAATTTATCATGCATCTAATTAACGCACTAATTAACGACAAGATTTATCTTTCATTCTTCAAAATTATTGACGACTTTGTTTGTACGATTAATATCGGAATTACTCTCTTGAGCAAGAGGTTGAAAAAAGAGAAAGTAGAAAAAGTTATTCGCTCGTAAATAATTTGTTGCAAAGCGCTTAATGAATCTCGCTATATCTGTGTGCATACATAAGTAGGTAGTTACTTATAAGTAAAGTAGTAGAAGCCATTACTCGTAGTAAAACGCGCGATAACGTGGAAGAAAAGTATATGGCAGTCGTATTTTAAAAGGATGAAGGAAAAGAAGGGATAGGGAGGAAAAAGGGGCGATTTAAAGCTTACATTTGCATCGGTAGTATCGCTCGAATTACACAGACGCATTGGCGAAACACTGGCCGTAACCAAGATAGACGGGTGAAGATCCATACCGACGCTTATTGCTGCTCGTAGAACGTTCATAAATAAAAAGGAAATGTTCGAATGCGAGAAAAATGCGCCATTTTACTAAATGCTGAAAACTTATATCGGGAAATGCAATAAATTTCGCGCACGATACTCCAGCAGGAGAACTTGGAGTACTCGAGAATAGAGAGACCGAGAGAGAGAGAGAGAGAGAAGCAAAAATTAATTCATTAATAAATCGAGCATGAAACATCGTAAAAGAATCAATGGTATAATTCGACTGATAAAGAAGTACTTTAATTTCATAGTTATCAATAATATAATCCATGGTAAAAGGAATATTTATATATCGTGCGTCAGGGTACCTTTTTTTCTTTTACAAAGCTCCTTTAAACGAAGGATTCGCGACAAAGCGGATAAATTTGTTGAGGATTTTCCGAAGATGCATTCTATTTCGCGCAGATAGGGAAACCATTTACTTTTCCATTCCAAGAAAAAGAGAAGAGAAATAGAAAGGAAAAGTACGGATAAAGGTTTTGGTCTTGTAGGTTAATGTACGAGGATGATATCGGTTAACGTGTATCCCTTAAACGCGTTTGGGGAACCTTCTCTTTGCCATGCGGATTACTCGCTTGGGGTTACGTCCCCTAACTTTCAGACAAGACAACCGCTGATTCCCGTAGGATACCACTTATTTCGAAAAAGCTAAGAAGGAAAGAGCGGAGAGAAAATAAAAATGTTCGCTTGGCCTTTCCGTAAATCTTTTTCTTTTTTTTTCCCCTTTCTGTTTTCTAACGAAAAAAATGTAGAAAAAAACGTCGCTTCGACGTTCGATTTTCTTTGAGCAAAGGCTAGTTCCTTTGTTCTCATCTCTCTCTCTCTCTCTCTCTCTCTCTCTCTCTCTCTCTCTCTCTCCGCCCACCCCTCTTCATTCCTCCGTCTGAGATGATAACGAGCTTCGAAGAATCTTTCGAGGCTCGTTACATAGAACCGCTAAAAGCCGGAAATAGTTTGAAGTTAGAATACGAGAAGAGGATCTTTTGAAGGAACAAAGACTCGCGAGATTCTTCCGGTGATTCCGCGACATAGAAAACTATTCTTCATAATCGCGATAAATCTTGCTTTTGCGTTAAAACGAACGTAAAATAATTTTCGCACGTAACATTTTCTCGTCGTAACTTTGAAAGAGCTTCGAGAGAGCACATATCCGTCTTTCTCATAAATACATATGTATTTATGTAATATATAATACCAACGTACGTTATAAATTCTAACAGAAGGTAAAAGTGCATAACGTTGTTTTGATGAGAATATTTGCACTCGTTTAGAATTTGAACAAACGAAAGGTAAGCGTTAAAATTGGCTCGCCCCGAGAAAGATTAAATGACGTGGAGTCAATGTATAACAAACTAAAAGATAACAAACCGTTCGCGCGTTCTCGTTTAACAAAAAAAAAAAAAAAAAAAAAAAAAGAAATCGATCGAAACTTGGTCGATTTACATTGTATCGATGTTACCCGTTAACGCGATGCGAACGTTCGTTGTTTTATTTTTCCTTTCGATCGTCGAATATTTTCATTGGAACTTTTCCTCCAATATATTTTTTCTAATCGAGGCAATTTTCAAAGTTTAACATGTTCTTCGCGATGGACTCGTTTATCGATGACTTTGTTAGCCTATACAGCTTCTCTCTCTCTCTCTCTCTCTCTCTCTCTCTCTCTCTCTCTCTGATCTCTCGAGCGCTATTATTACGTTCAAACTCTCCTTCTCTCTCTTCCCGCGCTCGAGTCGTTCTCAAAGGCTCCTCCGCGTCCGCCTTAATTTTGTATAAACTCCTCCTATAGGCTCTTTATCCCAAGGCGGCAATGTTAGGCGGATCAACTAGTCTTTTGAAATAACAAAAAAGCCTTTACCCTATGCATCGCGCGGCCTCGATTTACGCGCAAGAGAAACCTAGAGAAGCCAAAGGAGGGAAAATCTTTATCCTTTCTTTCAATTTAAAATCGCATAAAATTTTGCCAATTTAGATTGCCAAGAGAGAATTTGAAAAAAAGAAAAAAAAAGGGAAGATGGCTGGATAGATGGATAAAGAAAGCGTAGGGAAGGGGAGGGGAGAGTGGAGCAGAATTGTTGTATGAACTTTCGTAAAACTTTTCTCGCACTTACTCGCTCATGTCCGATTCCTTGGCTACTCGGCAATGAACGCCACGATCCATTAGGCATTTCCCACTGACGGGATCGGGCGGAGCGAGATTGATGTACGGTGGTTCTTCGAGAAACGTTATCTTCAGGTTAAACTTCTCTGGTACTCCTTGAGGAGGCGTATGCGTGTTACCCGGCCAAACTATGTCCTTTATATCGAGGCCTTCCTTTTCCCAAGACTTCCAAACGCCAATCTGAACGAGAGATTAAGATGTGAAAAAATTAATATGCATTCGATTAATATGTTCCCAATGAGATGACGAGGACTAAGCAAACCTCATCTCTCGTGTAGACGGTTAATGAAATACGCATACGCTTCGCACCGTCGGAATATAATTTATGCGCAAAGCCAAAATGGCTTGTACATACGTACGTATATATGGCAAATATGTCTACGTATGTACGACCCTCGAATTTCAATATTCTACCTCGTGCAAATTTCAAGCGGGTCCACTTGGAAGGTTAAATGGTTGGCGCTTGAGGATCCGTTCCTCGAAAATCAAAGGAACAAGGATCCTATTTCGTAAAGGGATAAGAGCGATGTTTCCCAGATCGAGAAAAAGAGATGAACGTAAAACGGATTGAAATTCGACAAAAACACATGAAATTTATTCTACGACGGGATATATAAACTTGGTTAAAGAGTTAAAGGCCGTGGGAACAGGGTTAGGCCTGAAATATGCGAAAAAAGAAGTGCCATATACGTAGATGAATGTTTTCTTTCTCTTCCAGTTTACTCGAACGTAAGTCGTGATCCGTTTGCGGAACGATCGTTCGACACACGCCTATTGGAAGTCGATATTCCTTGGAAGCTCGACGAGCCAGAATGTTTCGTCATGAAAATTCATGAACACGCATGTTACCTCCCACTCTTTTTATCTCCATCTCCGCATGTGGATATATTGCTGCGGACAGACACACACACACACACACACACACACACATGCAGATCTCATCGACCGTGAATATTTTCATTTAAGCACCGACACCAACGTTGACGGACGTTCGCCAAAAGAGATTTACTAGCACTAACAACGCTTCGTCCGTTTTTATCTCATATATGAGAGAAAAAACGGCGTGATAATGGTGATAATATGGAAAGTAGAAGGATCTCATTTCGTTTCCATGTGAAAATGAAAAGTTTAGTAAGTTTTAGTATTTCATTTTCTACCGACGAGATACATTGCAAATAAGAAGAGATAAAGAGAAAGAAAAGCCTTTAACCCGAACGGAAACGTCAACGGTGGATGGCGAGTTTGAGATTAATCGAAATTATGTCGAACGTGACGACGACGTAATTAAGAGCGTCCATCCGCTCGAGGAATAGACTGACTGATATATTTTATAAGGACAAGCGCGAAGAAACATTGAATTTTCCTATTTACTCGGTCTTTTACCACAACGTTTTAATTACATTCTCAATGAGATTAAGCCACCGTCGTAGACTAACTTTGCTTAACTGTTAACTTTGTTTCGATCCATCAAAGTCTACTGATTTTTATCTAAAGTACGTTCATCGAAAGGTGAGTCTCGAGTTTCCTCTCTCTTCACGATGATAGTTCATCGGGGCAGAAGGAAAAGTTTTCAAATTAATGACTCGTATTATTCTTAGTCGACGTTGCTTCATGAAAACCCAGAAGGACGTCTAATTTCTCTCTGTTCATCCACCTCTTTCTCTCTCTCTCTATATATATATATATATATATCTTTTTGATAATTGCAGGCCAACGGCAAAAGGCGAGGAGCAATCTTAAAATCATTGCATAACCTTTCAGTTAAGTCGTCGATTTATTCTACCGTATATTAACTGGCCGCATCAGAATCCATGAATTTTCAGAAATGCGAATGATAGCAAGCTGCGTTCTAATAATCTCGTAAATATTCATCGTTGCGCGAACCAAAAGCCGACGACGAATTAAATTTTTGTTAAAAATAGAGAAGAAAATGATAGGAAAAAGAAATGAAATGATCGAGGTGCTTCCGTAATTAGCAAACACTATTCCGTAGAACAAGAAATGTTTTCTCGTACTCTCTCCCTCCCTCCCTCTCTCTACTCGCAATTCGAACAATTCCGCTAATTAGATGTCCATACTAGGCAACGATCGACGTGCAAACTCGTACTACTCCCTCTCGATATGGAGAGCGAGAGAGACGGAGAATATCGAAGCGTCCGCTATTTCCGATAACCGATTAATTACTAGCCTCGACCTTGTACGATTAGCGCGTGTTTCATGTTCGACACACAAACTCTCAAACTTCCACTGCTCCGTTGCTTCTCCCATTGTTCATATTGTATCATTTTATCGACATGAAATTGTTTCGGAGCAAAGTCGAACTTTTTTTAAATTCAAAAATGATCTAAAAGTTGTGAAGTATGTCGAACGTGAGAAAATAAAATAATATTGTCTATTTCTATCTTAATAAAAGAAAGAAGTAAAGTAAATTAAATGAAATAATAAAGGGAAACGCGTTGAGGAAACTTTCCAAGTGAAGGAAATTTCTTTCTCATAGAGAAAATAAGAGAATCGATATAAAAAGATAAAATGTTAACAATGTTTTCCTAATTTCATTTCTGGGCAAAGAGGAGTAAAATTCTCTTGACGTAGATACGATCGATAGAAACGCATTTACTGGCCATTAAACGACAGAGCAGAACGTTGATATGATTCGCATTGATGTCAACCCTGGACGAGGATCTAATTAGAAACGAAACGAAGGGTGCTTTGCGGGTTTCCGTTCGGAGATTGATATCCGCGCGTGAACACTGCTTGTAGTTTGCGAACTTTGACCACATTCGTTGGATCGATAAGTTTCAAGTACAGAACGATCACCTGGCTATAAGCTTTTTTTCTTTTGTTTCTTTTTTTATTTTTATTTTTATTTTTATTGTTTTTTTGTTTTTTTTTCTTTTTTTTTTTGTTTCAACGCAATTGAAACGTGGATGATCTTTCCACCGGCTGATATAATATATCCATAAAGTGGAATCTAGCGTAAAAGTGCAGATTCCAACACGAAAATTTCACACTTTTTGTTCGCGACAATACAAAATACCGAATCCATTGTTTCTTCCTCCTGGTCGGAAAGCTGCACCATTCGCATTGTTTTTTCTTTGTAAGAACATAGCCCTTTGTTTGAAGATCCCTCTTTCTATCTTTTGTTTGTTATCAATATGCGAAAGATCGCGTTCAATCGGTGTTCTAGCACGTATATATATATACGCATTTTCTATTCTTACTTTTGTGTTTTCCTTTTGTAATGGGTTTTTTTCTACGACTAGGACAATGAGAACACTCCGTTTGTTTTTCCTCTCTCTCTCCCTCTCTCTCTCTCTCTCTCTTTCTGACCCACAAACACACACACACTCAGGACAGATGAATTTATCGCCAGAATTTCACGTAGCAGTCCGAGTAATGTGTTTAAGCGAACGAGTAGGTCGAATTAACGGTGCTGGAAATTCTTGTAAATAGAAAGCTGCTGGCACCTGTGCACATGCTTGTGTATTTTTGCATCTCTCTCTCTCTCTCTCTCTCTCCCTTTTCCACCTTTTTTCGGTCGAGTTAGATCGTTTCGCAGCTCAGCCTCGCAGCGAATGTATAGAAATGGTTGATTCCCTTAATTATACGTTTTCGTGTTGGTCGTTTCGTGTTGGTCGTTGGATACCTCTCGTGGATAATTTACACGATTCGCGACTACTAAGTACCATTAGATCTTTTAAACGACACGACAATCCGAGATTATCCGACTTATATATCATTAGCCGAATAATCGTGAATTTTTAGTAGGAAAATCATTGATATGGGAGTTTTAAAACGTACCTCCTCCCAAACAAGCTGCTTACTAACTCCTGGACGAAGATTCATAATCTTCAATTCCGCAGCCTTGAGAACACCGTCTTGAGTGAACTCGACATTTGGCTTCCCCTGATCTCCTTCCACCGATACGTTTTTCAAATATCTGCATAATAAAAAGTTTCTTAGAAAAGTTGGCTCCTTCGGAGAGACGTACGATACGCGAATATATATGTATATATATATATATATGTGTGTATGTGTGTGTGTGTGTGTGTATATATATCGATGGATTACTTGAAAAATAAGTCTCCCGTGTTCCATCTTGCTTCCCCGGCACCCTCGCAACTCAACTGAGTGTCCAAAGTGTAATTCGCGTTCTTGGGATCGTTTACAAAGTCCTCGACGGCGTAGGCGTAAACTTTGACAGCCGTGTTGATTTCGCTGATGAGACTGTCGCTGCTCGTGTCGAAGTGCACGCCTACGTGTACGAATTTGGACGAGAAGAGAACGAGAAAGAAAGAAAAAACGATAAAGTGATCAGCCATCTTTGTTTAATTTTTCCTCGTCGGGAGTAGATGTCACGCCGTTAAATGCAACGACCACATGATACGTTTTATTAACCGTAGAATAAACAAGAGAGAGAGTGAGAGAGAGAGAGAGAGAGAGAGAGAGACCCTCTCTGTTCGTTTAGATTTTTCTTTTTTTTCTTTTTTTTTCTTTTTTCTTTATTATCTACGGAACTTCGACGAAGCGAGAACGATCAAGGAACTTTGTTTATTCGAGCTCGAGGACGAGCTCGATTGTGCAAGAAATCGAGAAAAGAGGAAAGAAAAAAAAAAAAGAAAAGAGGAGAAGAAGAAAGAAAGAAAAATAAGGGAAGAAAAGATTTTCTGATTTACCAAGCATTCCAATCGGAAACTGACTGGCCGATTGAAGAGTTTCTATGACGCTTTGAGTGACGACCCAAACGTAATTCTCGCCCGTGATCTTGTAATCTTCGGCAGCCTTGAGTATGTGCATTGCCTCTTCTCGAGTCGAGTAGAGCAACATCACTCTCGACTCGCTGTTTACCAATTCCAAGAGATCGCTCGCATTCGTTACCTGTACCGCGCTCAATATGTTAAACTTGAATGTATCTTGCATATCGGAAATCCGTTCTCTGACCGCTTGAATAAAATCGTCGTGGCCTGCGATCTGCGACGTAACTACGCTGAATTGATGCCATTTGTATCGCTCCAAGATACTCAACATAGCAGCCGTTTGGTGTTCCAACGAAGGAGCCAATTGTAGCTGCAGGTTGCTCTGCGAAGCTCTCTGAAACAAATAAAGGGAGAAAGTGAGAGAAAGGAATAGACTCGGAAGAATCGTTATCGTAGCTATTTACCCTTTCGAGTCCAGAATTATCGGCGTTCCAAGCAATAACAGGAATTCCTAGATAACCGGCCAATTGAAGAAAATACTGAGCGCTGGCCGTACTACGGCCGTATTGTTCGTAATTCATCAGATACAAAATAGCCGATACGTTTAACGACAGGAAATCCTTGCAGAGAGAATCGAGTATAGCTGAAACAGAAATCCACGCTCGATTTTCTATTGGAATTCCAGGCTGATTTTACAAACTTTCCTTTACACCTCGCATGTTCCTTAAGAAAACGTTTCCGTAGTAGCAATGGTAGTAAAAGGAGTTGTAGAGGAAGGGAAAGAAAAATATGAAGAAGAGAGAGAGAGAGAGAGAGAGAGAGAGAGAGAGAGAGAGAAAAAAGAAACATCTTACGCTCAGAGAGCTTTAGCGAAGGAACTAGTTCGATATCCAGGGTCTCGAACGTAGGCCATGAATGCGATGACCGAGTAACCTCTTTTCCGCGTTCAACCTTCCCGACATTTTGCCAACGTTCACTCGTTTTCGATCTCTTTTTCCTTTCGTTTCTTTCACCGTTAAAGACGGTACGGATATACATATATACTTGCATACTCAAACGATTCGGTTCGATCGATCGCGAATCAAAGACTTCCGAGAGATTTTCAAAAACGGATACGCGACACCGTAAGTTCCTCCTAGTTATGTTCCATCCGATTTTACGTTTACACCATTATACCTTTCGATAAGCGAAAGGAAATTTCATCGATCGTTACTACGATAAAGTATAATATTAAAGGGATTTCTCCTCGCGTAACAACCGATCGTTGTCGCGTCGTGTTACTTGAAATTTCCTATTTTCATCCTTTTCATCGGCCGTTCTCCTCCTTTCCCTTTGAAATGGATATCCGGCGCTTTTTCGTCATTATTTTCCATCCTCGCTATCCCCTTTATTATCCTCCTCCTCCTTGTGTCGTTCCTTTGCAACGATAAAAAATGCATAGCATAACGAGATTCCGTAGTTCGTTCCTCCCTCTTCCTCTCTCTCTCTCTCTCTCTCTTTATTTTCCTCAGGAAGGAGAAGTAGAACGAGTAACGCACTTAACGACGACGAGATATCGATGGGCAAAACTTTATGTTTTCATACTCATAATAACGCCACGTTTCGTCACAGTTGTCAGTTTCTTTCGCCCGAGTTTGTTCGAGTAACAACAAAGATATTGATGGTTAGTCGTGGCGTAGCAAAAACACGACGAGTCAAGGAGTTTTCAAAGTTTCATTTTTCCTTCGATTCTCGCCTCGGTGCTCGCGGATTTTACATTAAAATATCCACTTGTAAAACTTGATACCGTCGCTCTCTTAAATCCCTTCCAGCCTTCCCTCTCTTTATGCTTATTTCTCCTTATTTAATTCGTCTCGGATGTTTTAACTCTTTTCAGATGAGAAAAATTTCTCGACGACGCTCTTACCTTTTTTCTTTTTCTCGTTAAAACGATCAAAAAAAGTTTACACGCGCGCGCGCCCCCCCACACACACACGTACATACGGAGATACGAAAGTTTTCCTCAGACGCAATTTGTTTCCAAAAAAGATTTCTTTGATAAAGCTTTAAAGCCTTAAACCGTGATGGTAATTTTGATATTGCCGAGAAGAAAGGGGAAAAAGAGAGAGAGAGAGAGAGAGAGAGAGAGAGAGAGAGAGAGAGAGAGAGGGAGAGAGAATGTAGTAAGGTATCTATTTTGAACGTACTTGGAAGGGTGTATCGGCCGGATACGGTCAAACAATTTCTCGATCGTGCGTTCTTAATTTGTCAATGTAGAACCATTGCGCTAGCTCCTCGTGCGATAAGGAGATAAAAAAAAAAAAGTCAGGCAAAAGCGAGAGATAGAGAAAGAGAAAAAGAGACGAACTCGAAGAAAAATAGAAGGGAAATAATAGCGTAGAGAGGACTCCTTGTATATCTAATTTTATGTTAAATGCGAATCTAGATGCTATGAGAACATTACGGAAATAGAGGAAAGGGAGAGAGGAAACGACCCAAGGAGGGCAGTGAAATTCCCAGAGAAATTTCATCCGCCGTATATACCGGGAGACAGTAACTCGACGTGTAAATAAACACATGGACGCAAACTCGCAAGCATCGAGCGCGTTTCGGTGTGAGTTAAGCCTGAAATATTGACCGGTCAGGAGATCTTTGGATATGTCACGCATAGAAGGAAAAAGAAACTGAGTTCCTCCTGTTCATTAACAAAGGGAGAGATATAAAAAGAGGAAGGAAGAATCAGAAGGGAAAATGGAAGAAAAGGTCTTCGGGGAAAAGGCCTTATTTTTTTTTTAATTTTTTAATTTTTTCTTTTATTTCGCGTATCGAAATTTACGCAGGTACGATTATTTCGATTTACCTGTAGGACTTGGCGTGAGTCTCAGCATAGTGTTCTTCACCTGGTGCGGCGTGAAAACGTACTTGTCGAGAAAGGTAAATCTCGTTTGACCTCTGATCTTTGCTGCTTGACCTTTGTGAAGATTGTTAACCACTCGATTGATCGCTTTTGTGTACTCGCGCGCACCAAAATTCGTGTGCGGCACTACCAGACCAATGGTCAGATTCGGTAAACGACTATTCCCATACCTTCCGTCGAGCGAGCTCTCGCGAATTCCGCTCTGACCGATCGTCGATCTCCAAGCTTGCACTTCGGAGACGACGAGCGTGCCGAGAAGCGAAAGGATCGTCGCCAAGAGAACCTTTGCGTTTCGCATCGTCCTTCTTCTTCTTCTTCTATCTTCGAACACTTGCCATTCTCTTTTTTAATTTTTTTTTTATTTCTTTTTACTTTATTAGCGATTGTCACTGTCTAGATTATCGTTAGACTATTTACTACCTCCGAATTTAACCTTGGCTATATCTCGAAAACTTTAAAAGAGGATTCTTTCTTCTTCTTCTTCTTCTTCTTCTTCTTCTGCTTCTTCTTCTTCTTGCTTCTCTTCGTCTTTTTGCTTCTCTCGTTCGTTACCAAAACGAATCCCCCTCGAAGTACAATAGTTTGTATGTTTCGCTTTAGGAAGACGACGTGTTTTGAATGATTGAGGAATCGCGAATTAAGAGTATAATTTTTACTCTTTATAATAATATCTAGATTGTACGATTTGGAAATCGTTGTAAAGTATTATTAATTGTCGCTTCGTCCTTTATCAAAGGTGTTTGCGCTTACGGAAGACACTGGAAAAGAAAGTCACGATCTTTGCCAAAGCATTTTTCATCTCTTTCTTTCTTTCTTTTCGTCTATCCGTATCTATAGGACAAATTCGAGCCCCGAGTAGTAATTTAACGAAGAAAAGTCGATGCCGTTGTAGACGAGTTAGAAACTGGCGAGTACGAAGAATATCGGAAAGTTTTTAAGAAAAAAACAGACGAGACAAGAGTAATTACGATGGAAAGCTGATCTTAAAATTCTTTAATAATTTCGATCGAGAGTATTTGACGAGCCAACTTAACAACTAATTAATAGAACTTGATCCAAGAGTGCACCAGTTACTCGTAAATTCGGTTTCTTTCTCTCTCTCTCTCTCTCTCTCTCTCTCTCGCGATGCCAATAGCTACTCGATTTTTCGTCCCCCTCGCTCTCTCCACCTTGTTTTCTCGCGGCGAATCGATAGGTCGGCCTTTTAAAAATGATGGATACTTTTCATCTTTCGACAGATGCGTACGTAGTATATTCGACGAATCTCGATTTAATCGATATTGATTTGACAGTCGATTGAACGAAAGGAACTGAAAGGCGAATACGACCGAATATTCGATCGAAAGTTCGAAAGAAAGGCTTAACTGGTAACCTAACATTCTTTTTGCATAGTTGATTGTTTTTCGAGAGAGCCAATGTCCGATAATGTCTATTGGAAAATCTAGTTTCGACGAAGGGAGCGAGAGCGAGAGCGAGAGAAAGGAGGGTGTCTAAGAAATTTCAATTTCCCTGAGATAGATAGAATTGGATTTATCTGCGGCTTCACGGAAGGAAACTACCGGTAACGCGATTCACGGAAATACCAGCTCTTAGTTGGCGACGCTTCGATATGGCTGAGAACAAAGTCATTTTCAAGCGTATCGAATTTCCTAGTTGAAACAAAATGGAAAAAGAACGAGGAAGGAAGGATGCGATATAACGTCTACTATCGAGATATCAATTATTATGCATGACGCTTATGCAAATCTGACTGCTTTGCACGTTTCGGATACTACTGTTTGGTAGAAGACTCGTAATTTCCACGCGTTGCTTGCCATCCATAAATTATTCCCTCTCGTGCATTCATTAAATCTCACCTTTTACAACGCTTTAATTGATCATTATGTCCACGGGTAATATCTAATATTTATTATAATTTATATATAACGAAGGCTGCTGGTGGCTCTCGAGAGCTAATTTGTGGGTAGGAAAAGAAAAAAGCACCATTGTATGATAATAAGAACGACGACAACGAAAATAACGAACGAACAAATCATAATTTATGATAATTATATAATCGTCGAGCAAAAAGGAAAAATAATGCCTTTAGGAAAGCGCAAAAAACATGGACTCGTGTCCTTTCCGTACCTTTTCCAATTCTTTCTTGAGAAAATTCTCAAGAATGATCGTGCACCGAGGTCGATTATCGCAAGGGACCTTTCTTTCCTCCCTTAGGAATTTAGAAAAAGAATAGAAATCGGACTCGGCATTTCTCGGAATAATTCGAAGAAGGACTATCGGGAAAACGTTTCCCAGTATCTCTGCCATTTATTTTTCCCTTTACTAAGGGTTTATTCTTTTTCGCCCTCTCTGCTCACTTTTCTCTCATTATTAAACACATTGTGCTCCTCGCTCTCGCAAACAAGGCCGGGGAATCGAGCGAAAGGAAGGAAAGTTTTTATATCCGTTTATTTTTCGGATGAAAAATTTCAGTAAACTCTACTTACGGTGGTATATAACGCGTGGCGTGTTTAAGAGTTAAATCAATTTTCTGAAGTGCACGGAGCCGACGTTTTAATAAGAGACCGTCTACGTTGCTTTGAGTAACTTGTCCAGCTATTATTAAGTTAAAGTTTCACAAAAAAGACCTGGAAATGAAGAAGCGAATAGATATTTATTCTCGCAATGAATACGTAACTTAGACACTGCCGAGAACGACCGATATAGCGTAAGAAAAATATCTAATTTGTCCGTGAAAAATGAATAATCGTATGTCAGAGAAAACGAGTAGGAACTTCCGTTTAATCGTTCCTGCTTTCCTTTCTCTTAGTTCGCCGACGTTCGGCCTTTGCAAAGGAAAATCTTCTAATTCTTTTTCATCGTTTCTTTGATAGAATTATGAGAGATAATTTGAGGTAAGGATGCTCGATGAAAGTCAATCGATTCTCGAGGATTTTCCTTTCTTGAAAAAAAAAAAAAACGCGTCTCTTTTTCGTTGACCGTGCGAAAAATTAAATTTGACTGGCGAAATTAATTAAATTCTTTTGATTAATACGGCCCCGTATTAATCGCCCCCCGATCCCTCCACCCCTCCACCCTGCCCCAGACAAATATAATAACAATCGAACTATTTCGAGCTAGTTTCATTCTCTTTTCATCGAATTTCGTACTCTTAGCGTACTCAGTACCCATTTTTTTTCTCGCGTTATCCTGTCTCACTTGTCGAGAAAGATATTCTCGTACTCGTTTTAACACCGTTCTGAAAACGACGTAATTAAACGCTGCTCGCGGCAAGCGTGCTTCGCGGGATGACGAATGGTGAACATTAAATTACTTCTTCTTGCTCGTTAGTCTTTGCTGACCGAAACGTAGCGAGAGGCTCAATTAAAAAGGAAAAATATATTTCAATCATAATCCCTTTGATCGGTACGCTCGATATTCTTTTTACCGTTCTCGCAAATTTCACGCTCTTCATTTTACCACTCGCAACGGCAACTTTTCTTATACTCTACCTTTCACAGTTGTTAAATTAAAGCGTACGCGACAAACGAACGATTTTACTCGTAATACAAATATTTTTAATACAAAACACAGCACAGTTTTGCTTTCCTATTAAAAGTTAAAATGAAAATAACGAGGACGTAACAATGAGAATTATACGATGCGATCTTTCGTTTTCGAAAGTAGCGCGACGTTAAATCGATCGGACGTGGATCGCGTTATCCGGATCTACGAGAAGAAACGAGAGTCCTCTCCCCAGCACCTAAATTGACATTTTTCTTTCATATCACATCGACAAAATTTACACGGCCGACAATAATTAATAGTTAATGAAGTACCGACGTCCCTAACAAAATTACTGACCCCGATATTAACCGAAAGAGCTTGATTTCTAAGCCGATGGAGAAGACTCTAAATGTGAGTCACAGCTGGCATCCAAAGTTTCTTTTCATGCCAGAAGTATTTCGAACAAGAGGATTAACACAATTTCCTCATTTCTCGACAATATTCGATCCCGACATATGTTTTCACACGGGATATATAGCTATATATATATATATGTATGTATGTATGTATGTACGTAGTTTTACGTCTAGAAGGCATCACTAAAAGTAAAAACATATATGTATCTTTCAAAGTTATATCGAACGACCAGCCGTGATTATCGTTATTACGATCGTTACCATGATCCAGTGGAAAGAGGAAATAACTTTTTCACGGTGTGCCAAACATGTGCGTTGAATCGCACGGTAAACAGAATTGAGGATAGCACATATCCAGGATAAATATATCAAGCGTCCGATATTCGATATTAAAACGTCGAGAAGGAAGGATGGCGACGACGACAACGACGATGACGTCTTTAGCGATATGAGAACGATTGCGAATGTATTTGTAAAGAAAGACCTTTTTTTAATAAAAGAAGAAAGTGGGGAAAAAATGAAAACGTGTCAAAATCTCATACAATTCTGGCGAATCCAAAGACGTGGAAGTAGTAAGTAAAAACGTGACAAGGTGACAGGCGAAAAGCGAAAGAAATCATTTGTGCAAGCTCGAAAAGGGGGTGACAGGAAGGAACAAAGAGAGAATAAAAAGTTGCGGAGGCAAGTGCATAGCGGTTAGGTCGAAGGGTCGCAAAACGTAACCGCAGGTGAATGCCTAGAAGCTGTGCCATAATCATCAGCGGTTCTCGACTCGTTCAGAATCGAGTAAACAAAAGATGCCTTCGTTTCCTGTGTTATATAAAGCTACCTGGAAGAGCTGTTTCCTCATAGCATCGTTTCAATCCTGATCGGAATCTGTGCTCGTACGTGGATAGAAGACGATCGGCTTTCTTATTATATTCCACTATTTTCCGAAAGCAATTAAGAGATAATCGATAAGGGGAAAGCTCTTTTAGGCCCTAAAATATCAGCACGTGATAAAGAACGAGCAAGTAAGGAAATGCGCTTACTTCGTCTACCAATATTTCATAATTATTCGGAAATTTAGAAAGTTTTCCCCAACTTCTGTAGAATATTCTATATCGTGCCACTCTTGGCTCTTCAAATATTTACGAACATAAATTCGCTTGTACATCGATATGAATGTGTTTATGGGTTAAAGCGTATGTGTATTTAACAACAACGTTATCTCCTCTCATAGGAGAGAGAGAGCGAAGTTTCGATAATAATTAATTATCCTAGGTTTACGAGAGGATTCTGTTTATAGTACGGGTAAACGCGTGTTCAACGCAAGAGAAAAAAGGATAAAAAGAAAACAATATAATCTCTTTATGAATTAATCGAAACATTGTGTGCGCCACAAGAGTACTTCTCGAGAGTGGACCGAACCGTTTCATATCGACGCTGGAAAATGACGACGGAGAACGAAAGAGAGGAGATAGATTCTCATAGGTTCAAGTAGTCATTTATCACGTCAGTTACAAAACGCGCTTTGTTTTTCGATAGACCGTACAACGTGTCTGCGCGTGTTTATGAAACCTAGTACTCGAGGCTCGAAGAGTATCGTCCATTGAACAACCGATAGAAACGGAGAAACAAAGAGAGAGAGAGAGAGAGAGAGAGAGAGATTTACGTACCTTCTCCAAGAAAATACCCGAGAATAGATCGCGCGAATTTGGCAGTGGTGAGAGATCATCAGGATCAGCCAGAACGACGATTGTTATTCTCGATTATCGAATCGTCGCAAGCGCCTTAATCCTTTTGAAAGTTTCGTTCGTGGGTGCGTGTGCGTGGGTCGAGTAAGACGGAACGAAACGAGACGGTCGAGGGAGGACAACAGAGAAATACAAGAGAGAGAGAGAGAGAGAGAGACGCACAAGCTCATGAAGGATCGATCCTGCATTCGTCCAAGGACGAAATCAGGTCAACTCGATTCTCGATCGTGCAAAACTCGTCGTCGTCCACGATGATCTCTCGGATAAAAATATCTTTCGGACAAAATTAAGAGCTGTTTCCGCATTTCTCCCACGCTACGACTCAATGGAGTCAGCTGTTATTCTTCCTCTATCTCTCTCTCGCACGCTAAACAAGGCACGATTTGAGAAGGCCGCATTCCTCTAAACGAATAGGAAAAGTCATCCTGTCATCGACAAAGTTCGGCTCTCTCCTTCGTTTCCGTCCCCGTCACCGTTTCCTTTTATTCCTGCGGCTGGCAGCACCGCACACATCCACCCCCGGCCAAAATATCAGCAGCGCCTCGCGTGCACGTATGTACACGACAATTCACGATGTTTACGCGGCTATCGGTTCGACACTTTCACTTCGCATCCGACGATGCACGCCTCCTCCTCCTCCCCCCCCCCCTCTTTTTATTACTTTACCTCGTTTTCTTTGGCACACGTGTCGACTCTTCGCGGAACCAAAAGTGTCAGAGTTGAAAAGGAAAATTGCGATAGGTACAAGATATGAGAAGTAGATAAGATAGATAGGTAGAGAGAGAAGCAAAGCAGGAAGAGAGAAAGAGAGAGAGAGAGAGAGAGAGAGAGACGGAGAAAAAGAGGAGAAAGAGAGAGAGAGAGAGAGAGAGAGAGAGGAAGAAAAAAGTGCCGGTCAGCAGCCCCGTAGCCTTCGATTTTCGGGAGGAAAGTGAAGGCTGCAGACACCGCCCAGCCAGCAGAGAGCCCGGGTGTGCCAAAGCGAAAAAGCAGCCCCCGTGTTGTGCTCCACCACACGACGTGGATCGTCCTAATGCGCTCGCGCGCACCTCCCGCGCATGCCTTCGAACCCCCGTCTCCATGGCGACACCTCCTCGCCGCCAAACGCTTTACTACCGTCTCTCTTTCTCTCCCTTCCAAATGTCGTGATTCACCCTCGCATGCCACCCTCAAAATACCCACCTCCTAAGCACCACTCCTCGCTACTCTTATTTTATTCAGACGAATCGGACCTTACTCTTTTTCTCGGCTTTTATTATCTTTTTTTAATTTTGTTCTTCTTTTTCTTTTTATTATTTATTTCTTTTCTTTTCTTTCATTTTTTTCTTTTTTTTTTTTTTCTTTTTTTTTTTCCAATCGACTCCGATAAACACGGAACGATAAGCACGATGTCAGTCTCTCGCTCGTTTCGCCTCGATTGGCAATCGATCTAGGAAATTTAATTTCGTGTCAACCATCCTTCGAGGATCGACAGTCTATCTCGTTGATACGTATATGTATCGGCTAGTAGTAGGACGCTCCGTTAGAGTCTCTTTACGTGTGTGCGCTGGCGCCCTACTTTTCGGGACATTCGAATCGCGAATTGTCGCAAAAATTTAAAAAAAAAGTCATATATTGGCAGGAAACTCGATAGCTAAAGTCATCTTTCTTTGATTTATCTTGAGGTATATAGACTACCTACGTAATGTAGTTTTCCATTTGTCATGAAAAGAGCAGTGATTCGTTAATAATACTTTGGCCAAAATCGGCGAACCAAGAATATCGTAAAATTTTAAAGAAACCATGTCGTTCGGTTTAAGAGAAACTTTTCTCGCTCGTAAAGAGAACGAACGCTGTACATTGTACGCACGATCCTCGGAAAAGAGCAGTGTATTCCTCGGTGAGTAGAAACGAAAGAATAAGCGAACTTTGTGTTTCTACATAATGCAAGATGACGAACTTTCTCTCTTCTCTCTCTCTCTCTCTCTCTCTCTTTCATCCATCCTTGTTCGCACCCTCCCTCAGTCGGTTGCTACTCTCGTCGCTTCGCGGATGAACCGAGACAAAGGGCGTCTCTTTTTTGCTAACGGCAACGATTATTATATCGGAAAACTGCAAGATTCGTTCGTCGAATCGATTAGAAAATTTTCAATGATACGATTCGATGGATACGACTCGAACGAAGGCTTATAAATGACGTTGCATATAGAATAGAAGAATAGCTTTCCTTTCAAATTCTCTTACAAAGGAAGAAACCATTTCGATGTAAATGCAATAACCTTCTTATGTTTCGACAAATTCGATGATCGTTATCGAGATGAAAGAGATAGAGAGAATGTCTAATGGAAGGGAACATCTTTCAAAGGTATATATCCTACTTAACGTTTAAATTCGAATCAAAGATACATTATGTTTGGTGACAAAGAAAACAAAAGGAATACGAATTTCAACGTCCTGGGAATTCTCCTGGTCTCGTTGAAATTTAGCTTGCGAGTATTTTCTAGACTCACGCCGTTTCTATCTTTCTCTATGTATCGATTATAGTCTCGCGTTTCGAAGTTCACCCTCGGGAAAAAGAACTGAGAACGAAACGCGAGGGAGAGTTCCGCAAGAAAATAAAAGCGTGCTTTCAATGTGGCTTTCAAAAAGCGAATAAGTCACATTCTAATACTTTATTCGAACTTTCTCAATCGAGAAAGCCTAATCTCGGTGCCTTTTTCTCGCACATTTTTACATACTTTTCGTTTACACCTTTACTATACCCGTTACCTTGGTCTCCTTCTCTTTCGTTCCTTTTTCTCGTGCTCGCTCTTTGAAAACACAAACGCGTCCCGCGAGACTAACAGTGTATTTTCGTTAGTATCTTTCGAGCAAAACAGAGAAAATCCTTAGTAGAGGTTGCGCTATCATCTTTCAAAAAAAAGGAAAAGAGAAAAAAGCACATTCGACGAAAAGAAACGAAATGACGAGAATGACTTTTTCGACCACAAAGATCACACTTTGAATCATTTGGGACGTTTTGATATTTACACCAAAACCGAAAGAGCTATTAACTCGAATGTCACGAGAAAATTATGCTTTACTAATTATGGAACATGTTCGATCGACAGCCTGATGCTGCCTGCGGGTAGTTGTGATAGTGATGTCGGTGTGCGTTTAAAGAGAGAACGTTGATCGAGCTTTCACAGATAATGTACATTTCAATTCATTTTCCGTCAAAATCCGACCGTAAAAAGCTAATTAACTTCGTTGTACGTGGTTAACGTAAAATTTTTATCGAATGAAAAATTATCAAATAGTTTCTACTGGCGAGTAATATCGATATCTTCTATGATACCGGTGACATTCGGAAACGGCGAAAAATGTAGAACGTTGACGAATATATATGATAATAGGAGGAATCGTGATTTCCCAACAGAATACGTAAGGTGTGTCCTGAATGCGATCAAATTCGCGATCCTACCATAGTTGGCTTTTGGAATTTGCTGTGGTATTCGCTGGACGTTCTACTCGTCTATAGTCCGGGTATACTATACGAAGGAGTTGGAGTATGGGAAAACGATCGTAGTGCCGTAAGTTGGCTTTGTTCTTGTCCTCTCTTTCGAGAGTACCATTCTCGCTAGTCTCGCTAGAATTCTTCTTATATCCGACAGTCACTTTGCAAGGAGGATTACGAAAGGGCTGAGAGGGATAAAGAGATCGAAAAAGTAAATCGTAGATGGTACGTGGCCAACGAGTGAACTTAGCCTCTACTTTGGAAAACGGTCGGCCTATCGATCAGCCAACTCGACCTTTTTTTTTCTCCCGCTTCGTTTTCTTTCGAGATAACGAGGAAAGTGTCTCCTCGAGCATATTCGATGTGGCACGTTTTTGCGGGCGTTCGTTAAGTTTGCGTCAGCGTGCGAGTTAATGCTACCAAGGGAAAAAAAAGATCGACCCTCCGTGAGCTTTTTCATTCTACCAGACTATCGTTTCGAGAGATAACGCAAGAAGAAGCATCTCGTTGCTACGATTAATCGCTCCCCGTCAGAATTAACGCTAACATTTGATCATAATTAAGTTAGCTCGAATCAAAGGAAAGACCAATTATGAGAAGGCGAATTCTCGTTAGAACGCGCGAATCTCGGCCCTTTTTATCTCTCTCTCTCTCTCTCTGTTGCACAAAAAGGTCAAAGTGGCAAAATTGTTGGGTTATCCTACGTCGCGTAAATTACGTGTCGACCGCAAAATTTTTCGGCTCGCCTTTATGAAAATGAAAGATAATCGGACAATTCCATTACCGGCGAACGTCTCTCGACTTTAGAGTTTAATGTGAGAAAACACGAGGGTAGAGTCCGTTGCTCTAGCGAGAAAGCTCCCGAGTAAAAACGTTACAAGGTCCTTCGGCAGATGGCAGGAGCTTGCAACTTGTACGAAAACACGGTACGATTTCTCTCTGCTCTACCCTCGAAGCCTCGATCGCTCTATTTAATCGGATTTATGTAGGAGACGCGAGCTCGACGAAACCACGACAAGCTCCCTTTCTCCGATGAATCGGATCTTCCTTGTTGCGTCGTTGTCATTATCGTCGTGAGAAAATTAACCGTATCGTTCCTTCCGTTCTCCTATAACGTTAACAAAAGCCGACGATGAGAAGATGGAAGCTGTGTTAGCTTAAACGGCATCCTCTTTGATACAGAGGGTCGTGGTAGGATGTCACTGCTCGATTATTCTCTGGTCGTATCATATTGACCGCCGTTCTTTACCTATCGACGATCTTTCTATCCTGCTATCTCTTTTCCACCGATCGAAAGAAAGATTGCGCCTTGAAGTACATTCGTTCATCTAAACTCTTCCCACTCATACTCATTCTTTATCCGTCTTTCTCCATCTTTCCCTTTCCATTTGAAACAAGTAACCCTTCATTTAAGATTCAATGAACAAATAAGTACACCTATTCATCGAGTTCATATATATGCTTTGCAAATTTATGTGTGTAAAATGTTGGCCAAATTAAATTTGCAGAGATTATCGAGTTAAATTTTCAATGGGGGATTTTTTTTACGCTGACTCGTTATTTATTATTATTCATAACGTTTACATTTTCCTCTCTTGCAAAATGCAAGACTAAAGTTTCGAATTAATAGTGTGGGCTTATATACAGGTTAATGAAAAATACAAGAAAAGGATATAAAATAAAACGGATCGGATAGAGGAATCGATTTTCGTTACGTTTCGAGCAAAGTGT